GCTGATCGGCAGCTTCTCCTCTGCGCCTGCCCACGTGGAGCTTGGTGCACCCTGGCTGAGCACCAGCCACTTCTCTCCCCTCCAGCCCGGCTGCCCTGCGCTCAGCCCAGGGAGGCTGCGTCTAGCTCCGGCTGTGCTGGAGCAAGCTTCCAGGGCTAAGCGCAGGGCAGCCAGGTGAGAGCGAAGAGAAGCGGCTTCCTGGACAGCTGCCCATGGCGCTCAGCCAGGGTGCACCAAGCTCCACATGGGCAGGCGCAGAGGGGAAGCTGCCCGATCAGCTGGAGCATGGTTCAGCCTCCTCCGGGCTGAAGGCCACAGCCAGCTGGCCAGGCGGCTTCTTCTCTGCACCAGCCCACGTGGAGCGTGGTGCACCCTGGCTGAGCACCACTTCCAAATGTTGAAAAACCTCTTCCAAATGTTGGAAAAAACTTTTTTAAAAAGGAGCAGTATAAGGATTGGGGATAGCAAGTGATGGAGAGGAGGAGAATAGAGAGGGCAGGGCTTCAAGGTAGGGGCGGAGCTTCAAGTAAGGGGCGGGGCGGTAGATCTTGGCTTGGTCTGTCATTTAAAAAGTGATCTTGGGTGTAAAAAGGTTGGAGACCACTGAACTAGAGGGATTCTGGTCTGTATATTCATGGCTATTTTGGCAAAATTCTGTCTGTGTCCCGAGGGTCCTGTGCTTCTAGGCAGTTATGATATGTCTCAGAGGCTCACTGTGACCCTCCACATGGCTTCTTATCTTTTCTGGAGGACAGAGTTACAGCTTAATGAAACTATTTCCCTAGGAGGGTGGGGAAGCACTGGGATGGGTTCGGTTTTAGTTCCAGCTTGACAGAGCCCTGGCTGGGATGATTGAGTTGGGGTTGGTCCTGCTTTGGGCAAGGGGTTGGACTCGATGCCTCCTGAGGTCTCTGCCCGCCCTTGGATTCCATGAAAATTGCTTTTGTAGTGAGCCAGCCATTCTCAGTCCTTATTCAAGCCCAGATTGACAGTGTTGGATTCACAAATGAATGGCAGCTCTGCCGGTTCTCTTTTAAATCCCTTAGGGTACGTCTGCACTAGCTCATTAGTTCGAGCTAGGTAGGGTAATGAGGGCAAGCGGAGTTGCAAATGAAGCCCGGGATTTAAATATCTTGGGCTTCATTTGCATGTTCCCGGGCGCCACCACTTTTAAATCCCCCTTAGTCCGAACTCAGTGCCCGCGGCTACACGCGGCATGGAGTAGGTAGTTCGAATTAAAGATCTTAATTCGAACTACCGTTACTCCTTGTGACTGGGGAGCGCTAGCCTGGTTGCAGCTGTCGACCTCTGGCCCAAGCCAGGGAGCTCTGATCCCAGCAGCAGCTGGGGAGCTCCGTCCCCAGCTGTGGAACTCTGCCCGCATTCTGGCTCCAGCGATCAGGGAACTCCAGCCCCAGAGGCAGCAAGGAGCTCTGGCCTAGGCCTTAGCCTCGGAGCTCCTGCCCCATCCCTCTGCCAGGCAGTTGCGGAGCTCTGCCCTGTCTGTGCAGATCTGGCCATGGTGCCCTGGGTGGCTGAGGTAGAAGCAGAGGCAGGCTGGAGCCCTGGCCATGAGAGGAGGGACCTTCCCTGGTCTGGGAGATCCCCTCATTTCCCATTCAGGTCCTGAGGGTGCTGCACCAGCAAGGTCCAACCTGTACATGTTTTTGTCTGTTACTGTTCCTGATGTCTGATTTGTGTCCATCAGTCCTTTTGCATAGAGACTGTACGGTCTGGCCGACGTACATGGCAGAGGAGCATTACTGGCAATTGATGCCATAGATCACGTTACCAAACATGCAGGCGAATGGGCCCCTGATGGTATGGCTGATGTTAGGTCCTCTGACCATGTCGTTCGAGTAGATATGTGGGCAGAGTTGGCCACAAAAGCTTATGCCCAAATAAAGCTGCTAGTCTTTAAGGTGCCGCAAGACTTCTGGCTGAGCCATGGAGAATGTGGTACCCCGACGTCCCCTCTCCATTCATGCTGCTCCCCAGGTACAGTCCAAGACACAAATCTATTCCAATGTGGTGAACTACCAGTGTGTCCCAAACGGTTCGTTTGACAGTCCCAGCCCTTTTCTAAGAATGTGTTTGTAAGCATGGCAGTGTGACCTGCACCCCTGGGTCCGTGCACCTTATGTTCTCCTGCTCCAGTGTTTCGCCCACATTCACTGTTGTGCCCAAGGCAGATGCAGGAGGATGCTGGTGCAGGGTACACCCTGCAACCTCTTGAAAGCAGCCTGGTGTTTTCTTACGGGTTTCTAGGGTCAGGCGCTCAGAGCACAGCCTTGGCAATCATCTCTGGCTTCCTCCAGCAACTCAGGAAGGTTTCAAATGCCAGGAGGCCTCTTGGTGTTTCACTCAGCTTGTCTGGGCACTTGGCCATGCCCCTAGCTGGGGCTGAGACCTGTGGGACCCACTTGAGTGCAGTCACCTCTTTTTCAGCGTAGATGCCCTCAGAGCATGTCCCTTGTTCCTGTCGGATGCTTCTGCGGTGACTCACTGAATCTGGGAATTGTTGCTTCCTTCCACCTAAACTTGGCTGCTTCCCTGTGTGGCATCTGAATTGTGTCTGACTCTCCAGGCCCTTTGGAATCTCTACAGCCCTTCTAGGCAGCCCCTGGGGAGCTGGGGGAAGCATCCGGGACCAATTCTTCCTGTGCCAAGTTACCTGGCAACAACATTTTAGCAGGGGGGAGGGGACTACAAGGCCTGCTGCACTTTTGAACTTAGAGCGCTGAGCGGATGGGGCTGGACAGCTCCATCCACAGGGAGGGCGCCCAGCGGGCAGCCTGTGAAATTGACCAGAAGCTATTAATAGGCCACAGAAGAATGCAGTGGAAGGGGGAGGGTGACAGAGCCAGTGGGGAGCAAGAGAATTAAATGAGGAGAAAAAGTGCAATGGGGAGAGTGCGAGGGACAGTGATGGAATGTGGGAGACAAAGGGAGGGTAACGGAGTGGGGCAGACACTGGAACAGAAAGAGATCAGCGAGCTAGGCAGACAGGGCATCAGATTTACTGTTTTCCTGCAGTTTGTGCAGCCAAGGGGGGAAGTGAATGTAGAATGGGTGTAAAATATTACAAACCCCAGAGTGGCAGCATTCCCACAGGACAGCAGGGAATTCGGCCCACGATTTCATTTCTTGCACCTTTGTCTTTCTCTGCACTCATAAATATTTACCTAATTTCACATGCAGAGCTGATATCTAGTGGCTGCAGAGAGGGTAGTAGAGGGAACCAGCAGGATTCAGCTGGAAGGTCTCATGTTGCACTTTTGCACGGTTACCCTCGCACTGATTCAGCTCTCCTGGTGCTAGCATCGCCAGGACACTGGTGTTCTAGGGGCTCTGTCTAACCCCTCTCAAAGCCCATTGCGATGACCTAGTGGGGGGACACACGGAGGTGCTGCGTGCTGTGGTCCGAGACCAAAGGCGGGGAAAGTGCTGACAGTTCCCAGTGGCAGTGGGCCCACACATATCTGCCTCTGGGATGAGAGACACCGTGGGGAACAGCAGCTGCTTCCCACTTAGAGCTGCATCTTAAGTAGTCTGCAGAGACCCTCTCCTAGTGCTTGTGTGAGGTCACAGGCTCCCTAGACAGCAAGGCCCCTGGGAAGAAGGACAGTTCCCATCCCACAGAGAGGACGGGGGCCGATATCAGTGGCTTCTTCTCAGCCTAGACAACCCCACTGAGTCCCCAGCGTGTCCCTACCTAACTGCACTTGGGCGCGGCCTTTGGCATCAGTGAGGAGACCATGGGGCTGTGGATCTTGGCAGCCAGTGCATCCGTGCCCCACCTCATAGAAAGGCCTGGGGATGTGAACCATCAGGAGCAAGACCTTCCCCCTCCTGGCTCTGTAGACACACAGAAGGGGGGGGTGCCGCTGCGGCTTGGCACAATGCAGCTCCCTTTGCAGGAGGTGGCTTTAAATCCGCCCTGGCTCCTGCAGCCCAAAGGGCCCAGTGCAGCATCCGGCAGCCCACCAGCAAGGCATGCTTAAAATCGCTCTCCATGAAGAGCAGATAAATGGGTCTTAAAATAGCTTTGTGTAATTGGAGCACAGGGGTGCCAACAGTCTCCACGGGCCCCAGGCACGTGGCCAGGGTGCTTCCCCCCACTTTTGGGACTGCACTGGCCCCAACTCTCCTACCCCCCCTTAGTGAGGGAGGGGGGCTGAATTCTCCCCCCAGTCATATGGGGACATTGCTGGCTGTTCCCCTTCATCAGGGAGTGAGGGGGAAGTGCCCAGTTTGCTGCATCCCTCACTCTGGCTGGGGAGCGCAGGGGTAGATGAACGTTTTCAGTTTAGAAAAGAGGAGACTGAGGGGGGATATGATAGAGGTCTATAAAATCATGAGTGGTGTGGAGAGGGCTGATAAAGAAAAGTTATTTATTAGTTCCCATAATAGAAGAACTAGAGGACACCAGATGAAATTAATGGGTAGCAGGTTTAAAACTAATAAAAGAAAGTTCTTCTTCACACAGCGTGTTGTCAACCTGTGGCACTCCTTGCCAGAGGAGGCGGTGAAGGCTAGGACTATAATAGAGTTTAAAGAGAAGCTGGATAAATTCATGGAGGTTAGGTCCATAAACGGCTATTAGCCAGGGGATAAAATGGTGTCCTTGGCCTCTGTTTGTCAGAGGCTGGAGAGGGATGGCAGGAGACAAATCGCTTGATCATTGTCTTCGGTCAACCCTCTCTGGGGTACCTGGTGCTGGCCACTGTCGGTAGACAGGATACTGGGCTAGATGGACCTTTGGTCTGACCCAGTACGGCCGTTCTTATGTTCTTAACGTGCCCCAGCCGGGGTACATGCACCCCTCTCCCTGTGTGCCCACTAGAGCTACAGCAGCTATGGAGAGGTGCCTCTCACCTGGCCCCAAACTACTGTGATGAGACAGGGCTGGGGTTGTCCTCTCTCCCTGGTCAGCCTACGCACTGACCCCCTCCTCTCCAGTCCTGCCCCAGAGCAATGAGTCAAGGAAAGCCTGGACATTTGCATTTTATTTTCCAAAACCCAAAAATTAATTGAGTTAAGGACCTGAAAAATGCTGGGTAAATCTTCCAGTACATCAGTAAATAATCTTAATCATAGCAGCCCCCTAGTCAGTTGCCTTTGGCTTCTGTTTCATTAGTGTGATTTCTCAAGCCGGGGTCAGCCTCTTTTCATTGGGATCGGTGCAAAGCATGAACTCAGGAAAATGTTGGCTGCTTCTTACTAGGCAGACTTCTGGGTCGCCCTCCAGCATCAGGCGCTGCACCTCAGGCATGCGGGTGGCTTCCTAACTGCCATTCAAAGCAACAGTACAACAGAGATCTTGGTAGTTTAGCAGAAAATGGCTGTGTGCTGGCCTCCTCCCTCTCCCAGTACACACCAGGGATGCATCGCTGTACCTCAGCCTAGCACTGCTTGTAAGGGTCCCGCAGAGCAAGATAGGGCAGTGCAACTGGCCAGGAGTCGCTGGGCCAGTACTCCAGCTCTGGTTCATAGGCAGGTATCTCGTAGCGAGAATCAAAGTAGATGAACAAGGGGCAGCAGTAGAGGAGAGCGATGGATATCAGTACATGCCTGGCAAAAGAACAAACGGGGGGAGGTGAAAAGCAGGTAGCAGCACCAAAGCCAGTTCGTCTTGCTCTCTGCAGTCACGGAACACTAGAACTGGAAGGGACCTCGAGAGATTATCAAGTCCAGCCCCCTGCCCTTACGGCAGGACCAAGCACCATCTAGAATTCTAGATCATCCCTGATCTTAAACATGGCATGATTTTCCGAAAATGCTTTCAATGGAAAAGTTTTCAGTTAAAAGCATTTTCGGAAAAGCGCGTCTAGATTGGCAGGATGCTTTTCCGCAAAAGTACTTTTTGCAGAAAAGCATCCGTGGCCAATCTAGATGCGGTTTTCTGCAAAAAAGTCCTGATCGCCTTTTTCATGATCGGGGCTTTTTTGCGGAAAACAGTACTATGCTGTCTACACTGGCCCTTTTGCACTAAAGTATTTCGGAAAAAGACTTTTGCCTAAACGGGAGCAGCATAGTATTTCTGGAAAAGCACTGATGATTTTACATGAGATCGTCAGTGCTTTTCCGGAAATTCAAGTGGCCAGTGTAGACAGCTGGCAAGTTTTTCCACAAAAGCAGATGATTTTGCGGAAAAACTTGCCAGTCTAGACACAGCCCTCCAGTGATGGAGATTCCACAACCTCCCCAGGCCATTTATTCCAGTGCTTAACCATCCTGACAGGAAGTTTTTCCCAATGTCCAACCTAAACCTCCCTTGCTACAATTTAAGCCTTTTGTTTCTTGTTCCATTATCAGAGGCCAGGGAAAAAAATTCTCCCTCCTCCTTGTAACACCCTTTTAGGTACTTGAAAACTGCTATCCTGTTCCCTCTCAGGCTATGTCTAAACTGCAGTGCTTTTCCGGGATACCAGAGGTTTCCTGGAAAAGCAATGCCACATCCAACGAACGCATCCGCTTTTCCAAAATAAATTTCAAAAAATTGGACGTGCTCTTTTGCCATCCCTATAAACCTCATCCTATGAGGAAGAAGGGATGTGTTGAAAGAGCAGGTTTTTCCAAAATCTGGCACTGCGTAAATGCACCAAATTTCGGAAAAGCAGAAAAAGATACACAAATTGTGAACCACAATTTCCATCTCTCTTTCCGACTTACCTTTGTAGTCTAGACAGCCTCAGTCTTCTCTTTTCCAGACTAAACAAACCCAATTCTTTCAGTTTTCCCTCATTGAACCATGTCAATTCCATTGAATTGGCATTTTTCCTTCAGAAAAATGTCCACCAATTCCAGAAGTGAAGGTTGAGAGTGGGATTTTCAGAGCAGACTAAGGGAGTTAGGGACACAAGTCCAGTGGGATGTAGAGACCTGATGCCCTTAGGTTCCTTTGGAAATCCCAGCCAAACAGAATTAAAAAATGAAGATGAATATGAAGTAAGGGAATATTTGTCAACCCTAGCAGATATGCTACCACAGAGTTTTTCATCTCCCCTCTCCCCATTCCAGAGCTTTCTGATTTCCTGTTCCCACAGGCTGTCTCTGGCTATTCCATTCTGAAACCACTATGATGGTTTCCCCCCTGGTGGAACAACTAACTCCCATAGCGATTTCTCCACTGAGTCAAAGCAGCCACTCTTACCAGAAGCTGTGAAGGTAACAGAAGTTAAGCCTCTGCCAAAATCCGCAGAACCACTTGTCGCTTATCCAGCAGCTTATGGCTAGTACCCACCACATGACCATGAACGCAGCTGTGCGGTGGGCACGAGGGTTACTGCACCTGGGAGGCAGGAGTGGGGGAGAGACGGCTTTCTTGAGATTCAGAGAACATTGCCCTTTTGGTGTAAGATGCATTTTAAAAAGCAAGAGTTAGATTTAATTTGCCAGCCCTAATATATCAGAGCAGGACTTAGAATCATAGAACACTAGCACTGGAACGGACCTCGAGAGGTCGAGTCCAGTCCCCTGCCCTCATGTCAGGACCCAGTACCTAGACCATCCCTGCTAGATAGCTATCTAACCTGCCCTTAAATATATCCGGAGATGGAGAGTCCACAACCTTCTTAGGCAATTCATTCTAGTGTTTAACCACCTTGACAGGCGGAAAGTTTTTCCTAATGTCCAACCTAAACCTCCCTTGCTGCAGTTTAGACCCATTGCTTGTCTGCTTCCCCTTGGAAATGGACAAGCCACTTTCTCCTGCTGTTCCAATCCAAGCACTCTAGGCTTGGCAGGTCACAACCTTTGGGCTTGCCCGTATCAGTGATTAAAGTAAAAAAAAAAGTTTGAGACCCTGCATGTAATTGCTTGGGCACCAGCCCCTTTTTCATTACACATTAAGCACTACTGCTGTGTTTGGTGATGATCAAATGTGCAGGAAATGAAAGACCTTCAGGTGGCATTTAAAAAGAGCTCAAGGGAGTTAGGCACCTCTCTCCAGTTAGACTGATTCTGGCTCCTAGCTCCCTTTGGCTCTGTGGAAAATACTAGTCTCCATCCCCAGAACAAGCACAACATGGGGAGTGGCAGAGCAAACTTCTGCACTGCAGTCAGAAGGTGCAGCTGAAGCATGGACAGGCATATTCAGGCTACCTTTGGTCTGTCTAGAACTAGATCAAAGGTGGCTCAGGCATGCTGCTGTGAGATCCCTGTGTAGCTGCCCTGTACTGATGGGAGAGAGCTCTCTGGCGACATAAACCACCTCCTACATGCGTGATAGCTCTGTCTGTGGGAGAGTGTCTCCTGCCAGCATAGCGCTGTCCACACTAGAGGTGTAAAATCCTGTTAAATAGGTCAAGTTTAACTGGTTAACCGATTAAATGGGTGGGCAAGTGGGGGCCACTCCAGCCCCTGTGAATATCCCCTATGGGTGGGTTTCAATCATTTACTGTTTCCTGTTACAGGGATTTAAAGTCGATTTCAATATCTAGTTGCTTTTCATTTTGTGATTTGCATTGTGGGACGAGGAAAGTGCTTTTTTTTTTTAAATTTTGCACTTAAATGGCTGATAGGATTTTTAGTGCAAGTTTTTATAAAGTATTCCCCATGTGGCAGACTCTGAAATGTGAAATCTGTGGTCAGTGCAGAATATGTGAAAAGAATGGGTCTGAATAGGGACAGGGAATGGCTCGCTCATTACAATAAGTAATTTTCCACTTTAGGTATCCTCACCACCTTATCCACATGCACCTGGATTGAATTAGCTCTGATGTAACTCTCCCATCTCTGTATCCCTAGTATCTGTTTCTTAAACTTCATACATCTGATGAAGTGAGCTGCAACTCACGAAAGCTTATGCCATAATAATAGTTTTTATGGTGCCACGAGACCCCTTGTTGTTTTCATGTGAAATGAGGGGGTTTAATGGAATGTCTTTTGCAACTTTATCATCACTGGGTACTAGTCAGTGCCCACTGTCATATGGTAACTTGATGCTTGGCTGACTTCCCAAATCACTCGCATGGTAAATAAACGAGTACCAGTTTCTAAATACTGTAAACTGAGTCAAGGCATTTGCTTCATTTTAAATCATTTGATAAATGAGTTGTTGCTAATTCTGCTGACTTGGCTCTATACTAGAACATTGTTGCATTGCAGGTTTTTACATATTTGATTGTCTAAACTTCAGGTTTGCAAAGCTCTTTGCACAGACATGGTATAACCCTGGACACCTTCACTTCTAGTAATTTCAACCATGATTTGGGGTCCTCACAGAATGTAGGTGAGGTCGCAGGTTTGATTTTCGGTTTAATTTCACCATTGTCCACAGGTGTGCTATTCAATACTAGAAATCAGAGTGAGGCCCAAAGAAAATAAGCAAGAGAAATCTGAAGGGACCGACGTGTGTGTATACAAAGTGTCTGTGTACTTGCATGGTGTCTTCTGTGGCAATATTGGGGCTGTGGTGTAGGGCCTGTTTATGCACACACATGTGAGGATGTTTTACGTGCACATGCACTTTTGCATGTGTGTGCTGGCGTGTGTATGCTAAGCATGTGGGTGTGTGTGCACGTGAGTGTTTTTGTGTGTGTACATTTGTGTGTATGCATGTGCTTTGCCTGTGTGCATGTAGCTGTGTATTTCTTTGTGCATGTGGGTCTGCTTTCCCCTGCAGCCAGGAACATGCAGTAAGACTGCAAACAAATTTCCCTGCAAAGGACACCCACACCTTACTTTTTCAGCTCCTGGCAGGTTAAGTACAGGAGGTGGAGGGAGATGCTGTTGAGGAGATAAGCGTTGAAGGCCGGTTTGATGAATGACATCAGGGTGCAAGCGACAGTGGCGATGCCAACCAGCCAGACAAACTGAGTCCTAATGAGAAAGGGGAGTTGGAGAAATAGGGGTTGGTAACTGGGAGGTTGAGCAGCTGAAATCCTCCCTTCGGGCTGCTGGGATAGCATGGCCAGCCGACTCCTGGCTGTACCCAGACGATGCCAGCCTGCTGGAGTGACTGGTCCCCTAGCACAGTCCCATGGTCTGTGCCCCCCTCCTCTCCCCCCGCCCCCCGAGGCCTTTTCGCTCTCAGAAACGCCCGGCCATGAGGTTTGTGTCTGAACAGGCCCCTGAGACGTGTCCCAAAGACCCAAACGCCCTTGCTGGCTCGGCTCTCTGCATGCCTCCACAGAGCCCACCCAGCAGCAGAGGCGAACTCTGCGCCCGGCTCCTGCCTTTCACCGTCTCACAGTCCCCTGGCCTGGAGCCCACAGTCTGCTGTAGCCACCTGCAGAGGCCCCAGAGCTGTCCCTGGCAGAGGGCAGGGCTCAGCTGCCAGCCAGGAGGCCAAGAACCGAGTCTCCCCAGAATGCGGTGACTGAGGGAGAGGGCATTTCCCAAAAGGTGCCGTGATAGTATGAAGAAGTGGGCTGCACCGCCGGCTTCTGCTGGGTGGGCATTGCAGCACGCAGGGCCTGAGAGGCAGGGCTGGGGCAGAGGAGTTTTGTGTGTGTCAAGGCTCTGAAGGACTGAGCCCAGTGGCAGAAGCTCCATCGCTACTGACAGCCCCGGATTGCTGCTGCAGACCCACTCAGCCCTGGCAGAACAACAAGTGCACCCTAGCGAGAGGACACATTCTCATGCAAATCCCTTGCAAGTCCCTCCCCCGCCTGCCAGTCGCAGTGAACTCCTGATGACCTCTCCCTTGGCAAAGTCCATGTGCCACCAAGCCCAGCCCGCACGTGGTGGAAGGGGGCAGAGTGACTCTCCCTAGACCCTGCCCCTGGAGCCAGCACCGTGAGGCTGCCCGAAGGCCCCCGGGTGCATTGATGGGTTTTATTGCCACTTGTTTGCCATTTGCTTATTACCACCGGGCAGCAATAGCACAAGTCTGACTTGGAAATGCCCAGCACAGTGGGGCCCACCAGTCCTGGGCAAAAACCGAATAAATTGCAGTCAGCAAAATGCTTGTCCCCTGGGAGTGAACACAGACATTCACAGGGCTCTGCTGGGGCTGGCTTGGATTTCCTCCCTCTCTGCTCTACGGACGGTTGGCGCCTGTCGCATTTTCACCCAGGCAGTCAGTCCAGTTTGGGGCTTCTGTGTCTGGGTGCCATTTAGGTGCTTGATTTTCAGGGACCTGCCTCCACATGGCATTTGAACCAGAAATCCAGTGACCATGGAGTCATTGAGCCCACGCCAGACCCTGCTCAGCCAGGGCTGCCTCCGACCTGCAGACAGGCTCCGGGAGACAATCCAGCGAGCGACAGGAGGAAGGAAGGAAGAGAGCAAGCACTGGGGGCGAGTTGACACAAGGGCAGGGTCTGGGGAAAGAGGTGGGGCAGGCGGTGGGACCTCAGAGACCTGGTGGCTACCAGCTATTAGAAAGGTGGAAGTGGTTGCTCTATTCAGAGACCCTTTCTCGCTTGCTGCAGCAGGATCACCTATGTACACACTGACTCCAGCCGATGGCCCTGAGACTTTGGGAGCAGCCCCAGGAAAGCCTCATAAAACCTGAGGCTCAGGCAAAAAGCCTGTGATGGGTCCCTGTCTGTCTCGTGTGGTTTTGCTCTTGTGTATACCAAGCTGCAGCTCTGCCCCTGCATCCCACAGTGCAACCATCTGGGCATGCATGGGACTGCAGGGACAGCGTCAGGGAGATCACAGCCATCCAGAAATGAGCCAGAGCAAGAAGTGCTAAAGGGGAAGCATTAGCAACCTGTGTATTGAGGCTGTTTGCTGCTGCCCCTTGTAAATATTTTTCCAACCCTGTTTTACTGTCAGAGCTTTTGCATTGCTATGTTCTGAAGGGATGGTCCTGGGGCAGCCTTTTGCTGTCCCCACAAAAATCCAGCCAGATTTGGCTGAGTTATAAGCTGCTGAAAATCACTATTTACTTGTGCCCAGTTGAGCCATAGTGTCCAACCAGTTCTGAAGCAGTCGCCACTATTGGCAACTAGCCACACTCAACTAGCCAAATAGCCACATGTGGCTAGTAGCTTGCGTGTTGGGCACCACAGCTGTCGAGCTTCTCATTTGTTGCTCAAAACGTCTGAACAGTCCGTCTGCACTGAGCATGCTCCCCAGAATCTCCCTACATAACGTGGAAGCAGATACCCAGAAATGAAGCCCCACATGGGACAGGGCACAAGCAATTGGCACGTCCCCATTGTCCTCATTTTCCTTCCATGAAAATCCCCTGGCTGCGGCGTAGTGGGCGGGGCACTCACCTCTTACCGAGGTCGCCCTCGCTTTAAGTCCAAGATACGCGCCAAAGCACTTGGGCTTACAGCAAAGCAGCTTGAAGCGGGGAATTTTCCCCCCACGGCTGACTTCTACTTGCACAAATTGGACTTAAGAGCGGGGAATGGGAGGACTTAGCACGTCGGTTCCTCCAAGCATCAGCAACCTAAGTGTGGAACGGGTGTACCTCAGAGCGACTTATAGCGGGGGCGCCCTGGACCCCAGGCTCCCCAGCAGAACATGTTGGTGCAAGAGCTCTTAAAAATGGTTGGGAAAATCTGCATGAAGGGAAGCCTTAGGCAGCCTCAGCAGAGCAGCTGCTAGCCGTTGGGGGATTGCACAGGGCTGGATCTGTGGTCTCCCACTTGGCAAACCCAGGTCTGCTCCACTCATTCCCCTTGGGGTCTTGCCAAATCTATGTATTTGAAATTCTCCATGCTTAGCCTCCTGGTTAGCTTTGCAGGGAGAGCCCGCTGCCGCAAGATGAGTTCTTGGACGGCGGGGGAATCCCCTGGTGGGGCCACTAACTGAGCTTTTGCCTGTGAACTGGGAGGTTTCTGGTTCCCAGTACAAGGGATAGGAACCTCTAGGGTAGGGGTGGGCAAAATGTGACCCGCTGGCTGGATCCGGTCTACCAAGCCACCAGATTCGGCCCATGGGAGCCTCAGCCAGGCTCCCTGCCTGACCTGCCCCCACAGGCTGCTCAGAGCAGCTCTCTGAACACAGGCAAGCTCAAAGGGGGATGGGGAAGGGAGAGGCCTTGTGCGCTGCCCCCACCCTCAGCACAATCTCTCAGCTCACACTGGCCAGTTTCCTGCACTCGTGTCCCAGGTCACAACTTGCTCAGACTCTGAACTCCTTCCTGCACCCCTCCTCCAGGTCAGAACCCTCCCCTGCACCCAGACCCCCTCCCCGACCCCACACCCTCTCCTGCACCCCTGTCCCTTAGCCCAAGCGTCCTTCTGCACTCCGTCTCCATCCCAGACCCCGCACCGCCCACTGGTATCATGGAAGAGTGCAGCCCTCGACCACTGTCCAAATTCTTGGAGCGCCCCACACAGCAAAAGTTATTGCCCCAGCCCTGCTGTAGGGCATCTCCTCTCAGACAAGTCTCAGTGGCCCAGCCCTCCCCAAGGGAATCTGCAGCCTTGCGCCCCACCCAGGTCGTACCTGTCCTTGATGAAGCCCGGGAAGTGACATTTTGGGAACCAGAAGGTGTACGTCAAGGCGAGGGTCCAGAGGATGGACAGTTCGTCCAGCAGCTGTCCCACGTAGCTCAGGGTCACGTGATAGTACGTAGAGAAAATACCTGCAACGAGTGAGGCTGGTGCTGTTTGTCACCTGCCTCCTCCCAGCTCAGTGCTCTGTCCAAGAGGCAACCCACTGCAATTCCTGTCTCAGGGACCCCACCGTTCCGCTCTGTGCCACCAGCCCCTTGGGGCCTGTGCTGTACTTCTCCTCCCTGCCTTTTGGTCCTGCGCTCAGCTGCTCCCCGTCTGACCCCAATGGACACTGCAGGGTTGGCCGGTTGTAATGGAGACTGCGGTCCAGCCCCACGTTTGCAGTGAGGGAGAAGTGGGTGGGATTCCCTTGGGAGGCGATAAGAGCTCTCCTGGTCATGCTGGGTCCCCTGTTGGGGGTCTGGTGTATCCCTGAGCCTGGACATGAGCCAGAACTCAGCTGGGCCCAATTCCCATTTCTACTCAGGCCCCTTTACACTGCTTCTGTCCAGCCTTCAAATGTGCCCCCTCCCTAGGATCAGGCTTGTCCAGTGGGCCGGAGGTGGGGAGGTTTCCATGCCAGACGGCACACGCTCCTCTTCAGTTTCCAGATACACCCACAGCCCCTTTGGCACCCTGCCAGCCGCTGTGAGTCTGCCGAGAGAATTCCTCCTGCGCCGTGCGAATGGCTGGGGGCTGGGTGGCCATGACACATGCTGAAGGACTCTTCCCCAGGGAGGCCCTGACTGAGGAAGGCCCGAAAGCACTTGTCTAGCTTGGAGCCCACCCCCTATGCAGTGGGGTGCCTGAAGGTAACCATGTCCTTATGCACCTCCCTGCATCAGGGTCCTAGCCCGTCGGGCAGTGAGGCAGGACGGTCTCCCAGGGTGGAGGAGATGAGCAGTCCCTCCATAACAGGAGAACAATGGCTAGATCCAAAATTAGGACCCCAAGACTCTCCCCACGGGCTCGGTGGGTTTGTCTAAGCTGTAGCAGGGAGGGGCAGTTCCCAGCTGGCTCACGCTATATAGGAGCATGGCCACAGTGGCACAGGGACAGCTCGGGCTGGCCAGCAAACACAGCCCCATCCACGGGCCTAGGCATGTGCTGGGGTGGCCGCGCTCCTATCTGGCGTGCCAGCTCGAGGAAAGCTAGCCCGAGTGCGCCTCCCAACTGTCGTGCCAGCATGCCCTGGGAGTCACAGGGTCCAATTGTCCTGCAGGTCCCCTGGGCACTACCGAGAACGTTTGCAACCCACAGGAAAAGTTCTGCTGCACTCTGGCTCTTGCTTCCGTGACAAAGGAGTTGGGGGTGAAATCCCTTGGCCCGAATGCAGCTTAGGGCTGGCAAATAGAGCCCTACAGCATCCATTGCCCCTTACAGACTCTGACATGCCCGAAGGACTCAACACTGCAAGGATTCTAGGCTGCAGATTTAAGTCCATTATGCCTGGGGCCCTTTCAAATTTTCAGGTAACAAAATCTGGGGGTACGTCTACACGGCGAGGAAAACCCACAGCGCCGATTCTCAGAGCTTGTGGGGCTTGGGCTGCAGAGCTAAACACAGCAGTGTAGACAGTCCTGCTTGGGCAGAGAGCTAGGCTCAAACCCGGTGAGCCTATCGGCACCGGATCTGAGAGTCTTGGCTGCGGCGGATTGTTCTTTAAAGTGTAGACATGCCCAAGGAGCCGAGAGCTACCTTTGGCCCCTCCCAGACTCTGCCCTTTCTGTGGCATCTCTTCGGCAGAGTAGCACAGAACAAAGACTCCCTCCTGGTCACTGACAGGCTGGTTCTTTTGAAAGCCGGAAGCAGTGGGGTTATGTTAGGCCTTTTAGTAACACTGAAACATACCTGTGACTAGGACCATGATGGAGAGGCTGTATGCAGACAGAGGGCGCTGCTGAACATATTGGTGATTCAGGTACAGTAAGATGGGGAAAAGGAGGAAGAAACTCACGTTGCTGATCTGAAAAACAACAAGCAGCACACCCATTCAGCTTCAAGGGCCCTGTGTCAGCTGGGGCAAATCCCTGCACCTTCCCATGCCTCAGTATCCCCCATGTAAAACTGGTCCCTCCTGTGACGGTGCCCCCCATGCTATGAAATGTGGCTTATGAATATAAATATGCACAACTCGAAGATGCTTTAAACAAAATACCTCATGTGACCTATCCATTGTACTGGCACAGGCTGCTGGACTTGGGTGTCTTATTTCTTGTGTGTGACGTTAGAAATATGAAGTGTGAGACTGTGTATAGTTTTAAATGTGCTAATGAGAGCCGTTACTGCGCCCCTCCCCCACAAGCCTTAACATCTGAGAGATCAACTAAAAGTCTTGTAAAAAGCTAGGGATGTAACAGTGTAGTCGACTAACTGATAAGCAAAAGCTTATAGGTTGATCCTACAGACAACACGCATTCCCCCTCCCCTTCCCCACATACATGCTTGCCAGTCAATTTTTTTAGCAGGCTGGCCAGTAGCCCAGCTCAGTTCTGGCTCGTGCTTGGTCCAGGAGCTCAGACCCCCCCTAGACAGGGGCAGGGGCAGCCCGTCCATATAGGCAAACTAGGCGGTCACCTAGCCAAGTTAAATGGGGCGCCAAATGGTGGCGCAATATCACTGAAGGGTTTGGAGGTGGGGCTCTGATTGCATGGCTCACCTAGGGTGCCAATTGCTGGCAGCTAGTCTAGGGCCACCCCTGGACAGGGGCTGCTGCCACCCCGTGTTGCTGCCTCTTTATCAGAAGCAGCAGCAAAGGTCCACAAGGGGAGCTGGGTTTTAAACTGGTTCCCCTCGCAGACCAGCTCCCACCTGGCACCCTATGCTGCTGTGTCTGATACAGAGGCAGCAGCGTGGAGTGGCAGGGGGCTTCTTGGGAGTGGGACCGGCTCCGCCCCCAGGGACTATAGAATAATCGAGTAACTGATAAGAATTCACAAGGTTACTCGACTAGTCAATTAGCGGATACCTAACATCCCTATAAAAAGCCTGGATTGTCCTGCAAGTCCAGAGGTGATTGGACTAGTAAGACATGACCCTACCACCCGCGACTGGGATTCTATTTTGACCCAGGTGTTTTTCCGTGGAAGGGGGAATGCGGAACAACAGATTCCCACCCTAGGTAGAGACTAAGCAATAGGAAGCTGTCAGGCCTTGGTTCTCTCTGGCATGAGACCCATGAAAGAGGACCGGGGACCCAGGTCAAGATAAAAGCGGGTTGTCTGTGACCTGAAGATTGTGCCTAGAACAAGAACAGCACGTGAGGGTAAGAATTTGCTTGCAGTAAGTGCTTCGTGAGTGAGAACTAGCCGGGCGCTTTCTTTCCCTTCTGCCTTTGTCCCTGGGTGGTGTTGGTTGGGAAGGAGGAGCTTTGCAGAAAGAAGCCAGTAGGATGCCAGGATGGGGAAGAACTAGCATTTGCAAGGGAGGTGGATGGAGTGGGAGCAACAGCAGGGAGCGAGAGGGGGCAGGGATTAGACTGGGGCCAGAGTAATGGTCCGTTACCTGGGAAGCTCTCTAGGGTGGAGGGTCGAGAGCGCAGTTGCCGCTATTCAGTACAGCAGTGGTCACATGAAATAAATGTCCATTGATCATACTTTTAAAAGTCACATGACAAGATGACTCTTCCCTGGGCCCGTGGGCCAAGCTAGCTCAGCCCCGCTACGCCTGTAACCAGTGCCAAGCTTGAAGGGGGAATACAAGGAGAGAGCCCATGTCTGGTTCAGTTTTGGGGTGAGACATTTCAGCTAGCAATGTGCAGCAGTGTCCCACAGGGGTTTGGGCAAGAGGAATCCTGTGTCCAGTTGCAATTGCAGGACGAATCGAGGGAGGTGGAATGCAGCAAGGACACCAGGCTGACAGCCTGCCTCTTGGGAGGAGTGCCCTGAAATCTCGACAGACCACAACCGTCTGCAGCTTGGTGACATCTCATCGGAAAGGGAGCATCTTTGGGATGCAGCTCTCAAGCACTGAGCCAGAGGAAAGAAAGATGGATGGTGAACAATCAAGATGACAAACTGCCTCACTTGGTCCTTCTTTTGTCTCCTGTCTAGGCACTAACTCGGGCCCAGACCCTGCAGACTCAGCGGATGTGGGCCCTTATAGCCACGTGGCTTCTCATTCATCTCAGGAGCTGCTAGGTCAGGGTTTGCTTATCTTGAGAGACCCAGAGGTTGGTCCTGAGCTCAGGGTCACATGGCCTGAGGCTACTATGAAGTGGTTAGAAGCAAGGTGCAGATGCACAGCTTAGCAAGCTTGGGATACGAATGTTGACTCTCTCCTTAACTTCTGTGGATTAATCCTGAATTGCATCAAGTCCTTCATGAAAGAAGCCTTTTTACAGGAATTTTCAGGCCAAGAAGATCTGCCTGGGTATGTCTACACTACCCTCCTAATTCGAACTAGGAGGGTAATGTAGGCATACCGCACTTGCAAATGAAGCCCGGGAAATTCAAATCCCGGGCTTCATTTGCAAGTGCAGTATGCCTACATTACCCTCCTAGTTCGAATTAGGAGGGTAGTGTAGACAGACCCCCGTTACTTCACACCAGTACCTGCACTATTCCCATCATGCACAATTAGCCAAAGCTAGAATTGGAGAAGACTTATCATTCATATCTTCAGGCTGCTTGTGACAGACGCAAGCAGACATACTAGTTCCGCTGGTGAGATCAGTGGCAAACTGTTCAAGAAAGGCAGAGAAAACATGCCAAGAGTGTAACAATAACACACAGGCTGGAGAACAGAGACTCCCAGAACACAAGAGGAATCACAAAGGACAGACGGCGAGCAAGTGCTCACAGAAGGGGTGGCAGAGTGGAAATCACAGGAGTTAGCCGGAGGAATTAGCACTGGTTGCTCCATCAAACACTCAGCAGATAGGAAGCATCGATGTTTGGTCCACGCAGGCTCTCTGCATCCTTGTGCACCGCAACAGCATCCTTAATGACACGATCTCACCACCATTTCCCGAAGAATACAGGATGTGAAGCACAACAAGAGCAGAGATTAGCAGCACGGTACAAAATAGAGGAGGATGCTAGGCTGGGACCTGTGCAAAGGAGGCTCAAGAGACATCAGACTAGTCTCATCCAGGGCAAGTCCGGGCTGGCAGCTAGCTGCAGAGGTGCTGTAACGTTGCCGACCACAGTGTCTGCCCACCACCCTCCGCACTGGATCCTCTGCAGATGAAAAGGTAGCAGCAGACCTCCCCCAAACTGCTCAAGTCAGGCCAGGACAGCAGCAAGCGTTCAGCTGTAGGAGAGAGACAGCTCACTGGCTTCCTCTCCACTGGGCTCACCAAGCGGGAGTGTGAGGCGGGCCAGGACAGGGGCAACAGGGCATTCTGCAGCTCAGGCGTAAGGGGCAGGTGGGGAAGTCTTTTGCAGAGAAGCAGCCTGCATTGCTCATGGCTTAGATCAGTGCTCATCACTGGCACTAGGAAAGCAGGGGTCTCCTCTAAGGAACACTCCAGAAGAGGCAGCAAGAACTACCAGGGTGATCTCTGCCCTGGATTCTAGCCAGCCTGTGCAGTGTGAGACTGAAACCAGTTGATCAGCAGGTGGGATCTGCAAGCTGCTCCTTCGCAATCCATCTCCTGCTGCAACCGTCACCAGCGGAGCAGGGAGAGACATACAAGTGACACCTTTGGCCCACAGCCAGGCACACCTATTTAGCAGGATCAGCCTGGGCCCGTTTCAGACACGGAATCGTGTCACAAGGTAATTCTGAACCCTCCTTGCATTGCAAGAGCAGAGCCAGTTTCCCTGGCAAGCGCTCTGTCGAACCTGTCTGGGGACATTACCACAGGCCCTAAAGAATTTTCCTTCAGGCACAGGCATTTCTCAGACAGGGGCCACCTTTTAGAAGGGAAACCGTTTCCTGGGAACTTTCCCACCCATTCATAATTCTGTGAGCTCCTTAGAGCTAAATGACCAATGAGCTCCTATGGGCCAGTAAAAGATCCATGTGCTGCTACGCACCCACGAGAGTGAGGGTTAATCCAGCCAGGCGGGATTTTCAAATGCAGCACAGGGAGGGAGGTGCCGCGCTCTCACTGAAAGCCAGTGGAAACTGAGTCTGCTGGGTACTACTGAAACCCTGCTCTTCCTTTGGGGATTAACCAGGTAAAGGTAATTGAAATTTCTTACAGGTACTGTCCTATTGCAAGCCGGGTCCCTGCCAGGAGCTTTTGCCGCAGCTCAGCCAGTTCTTGCCAGAGCTGCGCACTGGGGCACGCCCCGTTACTTTCATCTCAGGGGTTAACAAGGGTGGAATGGAGTGAACAATCGAGTTTTTGGCTCGGTGGCTGAAGCAGGAGTGAGATCACGTTCATTTGGAACCAGCTCTGAATTTTTTCAGTTTTCCTTGATGAAATGGGAAAAAATCCTTTGGGTCAACCACAAGGTTTAAAATATTGATTGGAAACAAAGTGCCCACACTTCATCCCAAATGAAATTTTTCTGACATTTCCCTCCAGCTTTTTTCATCTGAAACTATTTGCCAAATTCAACCCAGATTTGTCACCTGCCTCATGTAATTTTCTGCACATTTATTATTTGTTGAAAATATTTCACCCACATCTTATAACGGGGAACAGGTTTTGGTGGGGTGGTGAGGAACAGCTCTTACTCATAGACTCATAGGGCTCGTCTACACTGGCCCCTTTTCCGAAAGGGGCATGCTAATTTCACAGGTCGTAATAGGGAAATCAGCGGGGGATTTAAATATCCCCCGCGGCATTTAAATAAAAATGTCGCAGAGAAAACATGCCAAGAGTGTAACAATAACACACAGGCTGGAGAACAGAGACTCCCAGAACACAAGAGGAATCACAAAGGACAGACGGCGAGCAAGTGCTCACAGAAGGGGTGGCAGAGTGGAAATCACAGGAGTTAGCCGGAGGAATTAGCACTGGTTGCTCCATCAAACACTCAGCAGATAGGAAGCATCGATGTTTGGTCCACG